GTCGCTCCCCCCCGCCTCTCCCGCCACGCTCTCCCTTCCCGCGAGCTCTCCCTCGTGAGCTGCTGCTATTTTTACTCCTGGGCTGCTCTCGAGTGCATCAGCCCCTTTCCTGCTTAAGCCACATTTTGACTGGGAAAAGGAGCTCTGGAATAATGGGAAATCCATGAGTTCAAGTCATTCCAGGGTAACCGGCCTGTCTTCCAGCTCCTAAACATGGAAGAGTTGCTCTGCTGCCAGATTTTGCCTTTTTCTGTCACAGTCGCTGCCCTTTCCAACCAATTAATTCCCAAGAATTCACCCCATTCCATTTATTCCCAGTACTAACAGTTTCCAAAGCCTCCGTGCTGAGGCACTAGCAATGCAGGCAGGTGACAAGGGAGCACGTGCACCCACGCCAAGGGCGAGCAGCCAGTCCCAAATTCAATGCCCTGGTTTCCACGTGCCGTGGATTATTTGTGGCTTTTGGTATCAGCACTCGCTTGTGCATCGACTTCACACGCAGCGCCTCCTGTTTGCTTCAGTTGTTCCATTTGTCTTGCAATAAAAGGCAAAAGATAAAAGGTCTTTGCCAATGATTAATGCGCTTTTCGCAAGTGTGTCGCTGCACTTACAACACGGCGTCTGAAGGAATGCAAAATACTGCCTGCTGAAGCGCTAGCATGACGGATGCCGAGCCCGGGCTCGTGTCATGGGGAAATCGGGATGTTGGAGCACTGGATGGGGCTGATTCCTGCACAAGCGCACCGGGAGCGCACCGGCCCCTTCCTGTGACCCGCGTCAGCCTCAAGGTTTTCCCGCCGTGCCCAAAAAGCCTCTCTGGAGCCGATTTGCTCCGGCGCCGCGCTCAGCCTTTGATGCATTTTGACACGCTTTCTTGGAGCTCTGCAAATCAGCAAGCTCGTGCGCGGCACGGGCACGGCAGCGGGAGCAGCGCTGCACGCGCCTGCTCCGCGTGCCGGCCGGGAAGGGGCAGCGCTGGCATCGCTTCATGCCCTGCACTGAGCACCACCACGCAGTGCCATGCAGTGCCATGCAGTGCCATGCAGTGCCATGCAGCACTGTGCACTGACATCCAGCGCCCTGCAGCACCATGCACTGCCAAACAGCACCATACACCGCTGTGCAATGCCATGCAGTGCCATGCGGTGCCGTGCACCATCATGCACCACCATACAGCCCTGTGCACCACCATACAGTGCTGCGCACAGCCATGCAGTGCCATGCACCACTGTTCTGCACCGTGCAGCACCATACACTGCCACGCAGGACTGTGCATCATTGTGCACTGCCATGCATCACTATGCACTGCCATGTAGCACCATGCAGCACCATGCACTGCCATGCAGCACCATGAACTGGATTACAGCACTGTGCAGCACCATGCAGCGCCATGCAGCGCCGTGCACTGCCATACAGCACCATGGACTTCCATGCAGCACCATGCACTGCTATACAGCACCATGCAGTGCTGTGCACTGCCATACAGCCCCGTGCCTCACCATGCAGCACCATGCAGAGCCATGCACCGCCTTGCAGCACCGTGCAGCACCACCGTGGTCTGGAGACACCAGGCAGACGAGGTGCCCGGTTGTCACCCGCGGCAGAGCCGCTCGGCCGCCCCGTGATGCTCGTGGTCGCTATGGAAACCACCCTTCCTCCCGCAGAGATGCCGGACCCGGAGTCTCCGCAGCCGGCGTCGGGCACCGCTTCCATCCTGGGCATTTCTCCCATGAATCCCTAATAATCAGCAAATACAGTTGGAAGTGGTGCCGGCTCCATCCTGCGCTGCATCCCATGCCCTCAGGCGCTCTGCATAATTACGGCTTATCATTCCCCATCAGCTTCCATGCAGAACCAGCCAAGTGGCTCAGGAGCATCCTTTGGAGGACCAGTGTGCCCATCACTAACTGGTGTTTATGAGTGCTTCAGCACCTTGGCCCAGGAGGTTAAAAAAAAGGCTGGAAAAAAGGCTTTTCATGTGAGCTACAAGATCAGGATTCAGGGGAAGGCATGCACACACATTCAGTGCTTCCCAGAAGAGTGGACTGGGATGCCCAGCGGGAGCTGGAGGCCTGGAGGAACCAGAGAATGCCAGGAAAGCATCCAACCCTCACATGGAATTCACACCTAAAAGCTGCTGAGTGTCACCCACCTGGCAAGTTTTCCTATGGCGGGTATCCCCCTCCGGCTTCCGCTCGCAAATGCAACAAACCAAACTATCCAGAAAAATGGGAACGTCATGGGAAATGAACAAATTACACCCTCACGCAATTAAAGAGCAATTCAGGATCTCTTCCCTGGGAATGTCCTGAACCTTGCGGCTTCCCCAGGAGCGACAGGAGGGAACACTGGTGCCACCAGTAAAGGCTGCGAGCGGAGGGCCAGTGCACCAAAATGCTTGGAAATTACAGCAAAACTGAAGCATCTGAGTTAGGGGCAGCCCCAGGAGCTCCTGTCTCTCTCAGGGGACTCCAGGTGACCTGCAGGGACATCCTCAACCTTCCCAGGGGGTTCTGACTTCAAAACCAGCTTGTGATGGAAACACCCCAAGCAGAAACTGGTGCATCCAAAAAAAAAGGTGCAGATCACTCGGCACAAGTTGCTCCTTGCAAAGGAATAATTCTCAAAAAGAAAGAAAGAAAGAAAAAGTATAGTATCACTGTATATATCTCACTGCTGCATTTTGGGGTGTTTTTTTCTCCTCTTTTGGTGGCTCAGAATCCGGCACAGTGGGAGCAGACAGACATGGCACTGGGGGAGACAGATCCTGCGGGAAAGTTAAAGTGAAGGGTGACCTGCAAACTGCTCCACGGGGACAAGCATTAATTATTTAGGGTGATTCCGAAGGGACTAAGAAGCCATCAGAGAAAATTAAGGGGTGAGAGCAGGGGAAGCCCAAGCCAAAAAGAGCCTAACCTGGAGCTAGGGATGCTCCATGGAGAAGGGGATGCAGGAGATGCTGGACTGGGAGGCTCCCAATGGAGCCAGGGCTTTGCAAGGGGCATCTCAGGGTGGGGAGAGCTCATCTCAGGGAAACTTCCCCAAACTTTGCCAGCGAGGGAAAAGGCTGCTATTCCCGCGAGCTCTCGTGCACGCTGCAGCCCCGCGCGCGCCGCGGAGCCCCGCGGGAAGCCGCTCCGGCCACGGCATCCCCGATGGCGCCGGTGCCGC